TAAAAATACGAAACAGAAAAATAAACTAATATACAAAATCTCCGTCAGCAAGGAGATATAATCAACCCTCCATGTCATCCCCCTCAGCAGCGTGGGATGACTCAGCAAATGGAAGGTCTGGTGGTACTGGTTGCCTTGGTGTATGAGACCACTATTCCCAGATTTGCTCCCAACCATGGAGCCATGTTAAGAACTCTTTGAAATTTTGATTTTTCCGAGAGATAGAGTCTCGGTGTCTCTTGTCAAACTTCAGCTTCCGGTGTCTCTTCCAACTCGTATCAAAGAGTTTGATCACCTCCTTTCTTAATACCTTCTTCATTATAGGATGACGCCTCTTTTTGGATTTCCTCCCATGTTTGTCATCATCCTCATTCGGGATTTTGTTGGTATGGGAAGAAGGATCTTTATTTTTCAATTCAGTTTCCTCTTCCTTCAATGCTTCAATCACCGCCTCCTTATTACTCAAGAAGACATTTTTCTGAGGTTGAGAAGGCTCCTCCAATTCCACTTTTATGACACCATCTTCCTTGGCATCATCCGCTGCACTTTGTTTTTCTTTTACTTCAAGGTTAAAACAATCATCTTTGTGAGAAGACTGTTTTAGAGAATCAAAGACATTGATGGTAACGGTCTCATCATTCATTCTTAGCTCAAGCTTCCCACTTTCAACATCAATTAGTGCCCGAGCAGTGGCCAAGAAAGGTCTACCCAACAAAAGAGGCATTTCAGCTCCCCCTTCCATATCCAACACTACAAAATCAGCAGGAAAGATGAACTTGTCCACCTTCACAAGAACATCTTCAATAATACCACTAGGCTTCCTCAAAGACTTATCAGCAAGCTGAAGAGATGCCAAAGTGGGTTTCAACTCAATGATCCCCAAAGATTTACAAATAGAAAGGGGCATCAAATTAATGCTAGCCCCGAGATCACATAATGCTCTGCCAATTTTTGTGTTACCAATTTCAACAGAAATATTGAAGCTCCCTGGATCATGACGCTTAGGTGGGAACTTCTTTGTAATAATAGCACTACACTCCTCAGTGAGTGTCACCATTTGGCATTCTTGCAACTTGTGCTTTCTTGACAACAAATCCTTCATGAACTTGGCATAATTTGGCATGCTAGCCAAGGCTTCAGCAAAATGGATATTGATATGCAATTTCTTGAATATATCAAGAAACCTTCCATATTGTTGCTTCTGATCCTCCTTCTTGAATCTGTCAGGATAAGGTGCCATGGCTCTCACATATTCAGGACTCAGCTCAAACTTCTTCTTTTCAACTGGCTTCTCCACTTCAACAGGTTTTTTAATTTATTTTTCTGGCTCCTTAACCTCCTTTAGCTTCTTTTCAGCTTCCATATTTATTCTCGGCTTTTCTGGAGCTGCTACCACTTTTCCACTTCTAGTTGTGATAAACATACAATCCTCCTTGGGATTTGTAATTGTGTTACTAGGAAAAGTACCTGGAATTCTTTCTGAAACTTGCTTTGCCAATTGGCCTATCTGATTCTCCAGGTTCTTTATGGAAGCATTTGTATTTTTGTAGTTGGCTCTAGTCTCCTCCATAAAGGTATTAGTGGTCTGAGCCATCTCATTAGAAGTCTTGGCCATTTGTGCAAAGGCTTTTTCCCACTCAGCAGGCTCTCGTTGTTGACTCTGTGAAGGCTGATTATAAGTATTAGATTTGAAATCCGTGCCAACCCCCTGAGCTCTCCGCTGAAAATTGTTACCACCACCAGAAAAATTATGATTTCTCTGATGATTTGGCTGCTGAGGGCGCTGGTCATACCATACACCATTCACCTGTATTTGTTGAGGTGAATCAGAAGAAGCAAGAGATGGACATTCATTAGGAGCATGACTGTCCGTACAGTAGTCACAGACAAAAGCAACAGACTGAGCTTGAACTCCCGCGATCTGCATCTTGTCAAGCCTGGAAGTCAAACTAGCCATTTGTTGAGCTAGCAATTTATTTTCAGCCAGAACTGACTCATTACCTTCTAGATGAAGGCTACCTTTCTTAGACTTTGAAGATACCCCTTGATTTTCATTCCTGGCCATTTTCTCTATCAGCTCCAGAGTTTCATTCGCCCTCATGGTTTTAATAGTACCACCAGTTGCACCATTCAAAACCATTCTATCTTCAGGTGTGATGCCATTGAAAAATATTCTGACTTGATTACCAGCAGTCAAATTATAATGAGGGCACCTCCTCATCAAGTCCTTGAACCTGTTCCAGGCTGCACACAATGTTTCACCCTCAGTTTGAGTGAAGTTGGTGATATCATTCACCATTTGGTTGTATCTCTCCATGGAAAAGAACTCTGCAAAGAACTCTGTAGACAAATCCTCCCATGTAGAAATGCTCCGTGCAGGTTGCCTCTCCAGCCAGCTAAGTGCTTCTCCCTTTACAGCAAAAGGGAATAATCTCAACCTGATAGCATCATCAGACACCCGAGGGTGCTTGGTTGAGTCACATATCATTAAGAACTGGTCTATGAACCTGTGAGGATCCTCATGCTCATCTCCTCCAAATTGAACTCTCTCCACCAACTGAATTATGGAAGACTTCAACTCCCAATTATTGTCAGCAATATTCGGTTGGACAATACTTGAATTAGGCCTGTTGAAGGCTGGAGTGAGGATGGTATCCATAAGTGGATTTTCAGCTTCATTATTCGCTGCCATGGTTGGGATTTCAGGTGCTTCTTCAGATTGAGCACTTGGCACTTTTGATTTCTTCTGAGCAAGTCTCCTGTTTCGCCTTTCAAACCTTGTAATTTCAGGATCAAATAACAATTCTGTAGGATCAACCTTGCCTCGCATAAAACTTCAAGAGAAGATTAGTAGCAATGTTCAAAACAATTTAAAACAAGAACAGAAGAAAATAAAATAAAATAATCACAAAAAGAAAGAAAAATCTTGAAATTCAAGATTATAAGATATAAGAAATCACAATCTCCGGCAACGGCGCCAAAAACTTGATACAGTCCGGCAAGTGTACCGATCGTTCAAGTAATAAAGTGATAAGTAAGTTATCGTCTCCACAGGGATTGTGAGCGAATATCTTATAAACGTCCTTTCAAGATATAAAACCCAAGTGATTTGAAGAACAATAGAAATTAAAGACAAAGACGTATTTTTGGATTTTAAAAATAAAAGAATGATGCAAAATGATTTGGATAAAAATATGAGAGATATTGCAGGTAAGTACACTCGCCCTATGATCCCCTCTTTTCACTACGGATTGATTCACATTGCTCAATTAAAATAAACAATCAAACAATTTATCATCCAAACAATTATTAGTTAAACCCCAATTCCTTGCAAATTTAGCCCTTTAATCACAATTAAAACCCCAATTCCTTGCAATGTTTCAATTGAGATCAAGCATTACACAGATAAATTAAACGTTTGTAATCAAGAATGCGTCTATTCCTAGCACGCATGTTAATTATTATCCTACCCCCTTTCTGGACCAAAACCCCAATATTCCTATCTAGGGTTCTAACCCTCAGATTATCATTCACTACTAAACTGATCAGATTTAATATAAACGATAAGCAATACGCACAGAGTAGGCATAAATCAATTAAATTAAAGAGCGAAAAGTAAACCAATCCATAACTAAACAAAAGGTTCACATAGGGTTTGTGACCTTACCCACAATGAAGGAAAACTAGCCAAGCATAATCATGGCTAAAACTAATCCAATATTCGAAAGCATAAAATTACAGAGAAAAAGATGAAGAAGAAGAACTGTGGAAGAATCCTTCAGAGCTCTGCCGTCGGCCTCCTCTGACTGGATGAGATGAGATCCCTAGGTCTAGCACAAGGATCTATTTATAAACTTTATTTTTTTCCTTCTTCCAAAAATACCCCCGTGGAAAGACGGTGTTATTTTCTCGCAACCCGGCGCCAGTTGGCGCCAGTTTGGCGCACGTTTGCGCCAACTTGCTGCCTCGAATACGAAAAGTCGGAACCGGTTGCGTGGACCGGCGCCAGTTGGCGCCACCCTTTGTAGTTTGGGCGCCACTTGGCGCCAACTTCCTTCTAATTTCATCTTCACTTTGGGCGCCACTTGGCGCCAAGTTCTTCATGTTTGGGCGCCTAGTGGCGCAATGCACAAGTCCTCCGCTGTAGTTTCCGTGATCTGGCGCGAGTCTGCGCCAATTTGGTGCCAGTCCGCGCCATTTCTCTGGCATTTGTACTATGTAACCTTTCCAATTCGGCACTGGTTTGTGTCAACATGCTTTTATAATTTTTACTTCTTTTTCCTGTAAAATCACAACCAATAAGTGAAAAGTATAATTGAGAAGAAAGAATCAATATAATTAGCAAATATGTCATTTAAATTGCTCTCTTATGACTAAATTCTTATCAATTTTAACACAGAAAAACACACTTGCCTGAGGCACATCACACAACACACAAGAAAAGTCATAAATCAGAAAAACAAATATGCAGCAGCAATCATTATTTAAAATTAACTTATTATCATCCACAACTCAGGATATCAAAATATTCACATCAAGCAAAGATATATAAAACCTTCCTTATAATGCATAAGAAACATAATTTATAATTAACCATTAATTCGAGTAGCAATTCACTATTTCAACTCTAGCGCTCAGACACAAGTGTACCCCGTGGTAACCATGATTGTGCACACACAACTTGCGCGACAGTGAGTTGATTAGGCTCACCCCCTATCAAGGGAATGGGCACAGCCATGCTTAATGCTGTGTACTACCAGTATCATCACACCTCCAAATAGAAGGCAATTTTATCCAGTAACTCATTCACAGCTAAGTTCAAACAGCAACAATGCAACAACAGACACAAATAATCAATAAATTCAGACATTGACCATTCATCAATCAAGTACAAACAACAAATGTTTCATCAAATACATATACCTTGAATCAAAACTGCTCTGATACCAATTAGTGTGACACCATCCCCTGTACGCGTCCAAGAGAGTTGCCTGCTAAGCGGATTAGAGTTCTGACGCAACTATTTAAAAACTTGATTTGAAATCTGGGTGCTTGTAAAATCAGAGTGACAATTTAAAAATAGATGGTTTGCTGAAATTATTTATCTTTCCTGAAACCTTGCTGTCTTGAAAAATTCGTATAAATTAGGTTCTTGCAGTTTACAAAACTTTTCTTTCCTATGTAGAAACTAGACATCTGGGGCATCGCATGCATATAAATTATACGCGAATCAGAGGAGAATAGCCTCACAAAACATAACTCGCAAAATACTCGAAAATCCAGTATATTTTTCTAAAAATCCCCTGACTTGCAAAAATCATAATAAATCGGGATTTAAGAACTTCTTTGTAAGGTTTGTATAATCTGAAAGTACACAACTGGGGCATTCCATACATATAAATTATACCTCAATCGGAGGTCTGTAGCCCCAGAACGACAACTCGTAAAGTGCTCGCAAAAGTAGTTTATAAATCAGCACTAAACAAGACGTTCAAAAATATTTTTCGCAAAACGTTTACAAAATTATTTTCCGAAAAGCATTCTGGTCATAAAACTCATAATACAGTAGCCAAATCATACTTTCCACAATAATCCAAATTCACAATATGATAATTAATAATACAGTCATCCAACAGACCAACAGTGACAGCAGAAAATCCAAGCATGCAGCAATGAACAGCAATTATCATATAACCACGTCCTCATATGCTCTTTCGTCCTCCTGCAATTTTATAAAAATTGCAGCCCAAAGGGGTGAGAAAGAATTCCAGTAGTGTGATAGTAAAACTAGTATTGCCACAACATTAGACTAGGTACAAAATTCCAAAACAGTCGCATCAACATTTAATTTTTCCAGACAGATGCTAACATATAATCATATTGCGTCATAACGCCGAAGTACTAGAAAAAATCTCATGACTTGCAAAAATCATAATAAATCGGGATTTCAGAACTTCTTTGTAAGGTTTGTATAATCTGAAAGTACACAACTGGGGCATTCCATACATATAAATTATACCTCAATCGGAGGTCTGTAGACCCAGAACGACAACTCGTAAAGTGCTCGCAAAAGTAGTTTATAAATCAGCACTAAACCAGACGTTCAAAAATATTTTCGCAAAACGTCTACAGAATTATTTTCCGAAAAGCATTCTGGTCATAAAACTCATAATACAGTAGCCAAATCATACTTTCCACAATAATCCAAATTCACAATACGTTAATTAATAATACAGTCATCCAACAGACCAACAGTGACAGCAGAAAATCCAAGCATGCAGCAATGAACAACAATTATCATATAACTGCGTCCTCATATGCTCTTTCGTCCTCCTGCAATTTTATAAAAATTGCAGCCCCAAAGGGGTAAGAAAGAATCCCAGTAGTGTGATAGTAAAACCAGTATTGCCACAACATTAGACTATGTACAAAATTCCAAAACAGACGCATCAACATTTAATTTTTCCAGACAGATGCTAACATATAATCATATTGCGTCCTAACGCCGAAGTACTAATCATATTATGTATATAACGCCAAAATACTAATCAAGATGCGTATATAACGCCAGAGGGTACGATCATAGCACCGTCATGCACGTACTAACAGACGCAGTGGAGATTCCATATGGCTCCAGAGTTGAATTCCACTGGACCTATGCGAACTGAGCCAATGTTCTGTCCCTGGTACCGGAGGGATGCCTACATGATGCGTGCTCAAACGTATGCTTATTTATTATATACTTCAGTCTCCAAGATGAATGCATAATGCAGTATGCGATGACATGCTTGACTCACACACATACAGACACAGGTGAAACATGATGTGCATATGCATGACTAGATCATAATCATAATAGCATATTTCTCTTGTATAATTAATACCAAGCTGCCGAATAACAAATATTTCCAGAGGCAGAATTTTCCATCAAAACAAGTCCAAGGCCGATTTCATATAACATATAACAACATACGAATCATAAGGCACATGTGAGCATCAGTTCAAAATTACATACGCTAGTTAATGGTCACAATAGATCTCACCACCAAACACATACCTTGTGTCCAAGCAATAATCAACAGCACCAAAATTCAGCTCACTCAATAAGAATTACATGCACCTAATGCATAACAACCAAATCAGAACTTATTTTTTGTATCCTATAATTTACAAGTAATCTATATGCCCACTAATCCTAATCTTCCTTCGGTTTCCATGACTCATAACGCAACTAATTTTCTGACTTCAATTAATTTTCTATCCACTTGTCAACAGCACAAAACTCCAAGGTCTCATTCATATGCAGACTCGGTTCTTTTTAGCATTCAATAGGATATTTAGAATTTATTTAAATAACCAAACCAACTAGGCCTAAGTGCGTTACAGAGGACCTAAAGCATGCTGTTAATTTAATTTAATTCATATAAAGTTGATACAATAATAAATTCCATTACCAGATGCCTTATTCTAATTTAACAAAATAGCAACTTAACAAAGGAGGCTTTATTCCAAGCTTACAAAACAATTCCTTGTGCTTGTAAGCACCCAGCCCAACCGGTTTAAAACATGACAGAATTAAGGGAATAAAATTGACAAAAGCTACGCCTTATGATACTCTTGTATGCTCGGTTTCTTCTTTCTTTTTTCAACAAAGCCCCACCCAATTTACTTAGACTAGAACAATAGGCTTTTAACATGCAATTAGCTCCCTTGAAGCACGTGAGGAACCTGGCCAATCTGCCTATCCCACGAAGCAGTCCAATAAGGTGACACAAGGGTTATTTCCAAGCTTCAACTAACTAACAGCCCGAAGAAATCATTTACAGCTTACGTATACCACATTCAAGGCTATTCACAATTTCAATTCCAAGCTTACAAGGTTGTTCACATTACTTTGATTTAAGACTCGCATACATTGCACCCTATGGCTTTTCTAAAAGAGGCAGAATCCGATGGAATTAAATGAAAGCCCTATCCTAATATGCATGTGTGAACCGAGATAAATAAAAGGAGGGAACCGGTCTAGTTGGTACCTTCTAGCAACCACACAACAGCCACCATTTGCTCAAGACAATTTTTTTTTCTCCCTCAAAGCTTTCCAAGTGGGTCCGATTCAGTTGCATTCCCCGGAAAGAAGACCCAGCTCAGCACCGAATCAAATACACACAAGGGAAATTCAGTCAGAATGATTCAAGTGGCTTAGCGCAAAAGGGAAAAGGAGTGCATCACCTCCTCGAATGCGATACCTTGGCCGAAGACAAGGAAACAGCAAACTGAGAGAAAAATTCGAACTTCAATCTGCATGCAGAAAGAGTGACCTCCGTCAAGCTGCATAGGCACCAGCGAACCAGAAACTTGGAGTACCCTTCCTCCTCTGGTTGTACCACAGCTGAACGGCACAGGGAGTGAGGAGAGAGGCTTGGATGTCGAGTTCCTCTCTTAGGGAGGTTCACGGCTTTGTACAAAAAAAAAGAATCGGTGAAGGTGATTGAAGTTTTGTGTCATGGTTCTCTTCTTCTAAGTCAGACGGTGTAGGAAGAATGATGGAAACAACTTCCAGCTTTAGGGGTTCCACACTCACACGCATAGGGAAGAGAAAGGGGCTTAAGGTGCGGCTGATTTTGGGTCACGGCAGAATTGATGAATGCCCTTCTTGAAGCTCCACCCATAAACGCAAGGAGAGAAGAATGTGATGTAAGGACAGAATGATGTAATCTGATTCAAAGGGTACAAACATAGGAGCTATACTCCCGAAATGGATCCTCTGCCAAAAAAATATGACATGGTCATGTGAGAAGATCACAACTATATAAAGGTAAATCAACGGTTATGATTTCGTAACTATCTATTTTATCATTTTTTTTCTCTCCTCCTTTTTTACCATTGATCCACCTTTGTATGGTTATGATTTCCCACATTACATGGTCATGTAAATTTTCACATTAGAGGATCTAGATCCCTATACTCCCATGGGGCGTACAATGAGAGAGGATAAGATGGGATTTAGTGTGTGGAGTTGGACCAATAAGGAGACATGCAAGCCCTTTACTTTCTTCTCATTGGCTGAAGGGGTGGCTAGGGCTGATTGCTTTTAGTAATTGACCAAATATTACCCTATTTCATTCCTATTATGCGCACAAGTGTGAGAGAGATGTTAAGGAAGAAAGTGTGATTTTCAACCAATGGAGCATGCACTTAGAAAAGACCAATAGAGAATCATACATACAGGTTTATTAAAATAAGAGTAAACACCATTTTTAGTCCCTGTCAATATCTACGAAGTCCTTTTTAGTCCCTGGCAATAAAAAAGGACCAAATTGGTCCCTGAAATTACAAAAAAGGGTCATGTTAGTCCTTATGTCAACTCCCAAATATGTAGAGTGGCCCTTTTCTTGTATTAAAATAAACATATTGCCAGGGACTAAAAAAGATGTTTACTCTTAAAATAAACATACGGGATAGGGTGTATTTTTATTATTCCCTACATTTTCTACATTTAAAGATTTTCTATATTATAATTAAGTTACTCCTACCCCTTTTAAATAGAGTTTTAAATCCCCAAAACACATGCTCACCCCAAAATTATTGTTAACATAATTTTCATGAATTAAATTACATCCACCCTAAAATGAAAATATATTTATATATATTGAGTTCAAGGCAAGTTTCTTTGTTCCTAACTACAATTTATATAATCCCCTAAATTCGCGGGATGTTACAGATTAATTTATAATTACTCTTTTATATATTTATATTTATCTCTATTCTGTGCGTAATTTCTATCTTCTTTGTTAGAATTGATCAATCTAATAGTTGATGATAGTTTGAGGGTAAGAACCCTAGATAGGAATATTGGGGTTTTTGATCTTGAAAGGGAGTAAGATAACAATTTGTATGCGTGCTAGGAATAGACGTATATATTATTGCAGATGTTTAATTTATCGTGCTCATTGCTTAATTTTATGAGAAACATTACAAAGAATTGGGGTTTCAATTGGGGTTAAAGGGTTAACCTTGCAAGGAATTGAAGGTTAGCTATTTAATATTTTTAGATGATAAATTATCTGAATATTTATTTAGATGAGTATTGTAAATCAATCCAAAGTAAAAAACGGGGATCATATGGTGAGTGCACTCTAGCTACAATGCTTTCTTATATTTTATAAAATCAATCTCTGTTTTATCTTTCATAACAAAATTCCAAAAATACGTTTTTATCTTAGTTCTTATTGTTACTCAAATTCACAATATTTTGTCACATCTATTTGAATTCTTTCAGTTTTAAAAGGAACATTATTTCATATTTGATCACAATCCCTGTGAAGACGATACTTTTCTTATCACTATATTACTTGTGCGATCGGTACACTTGCCGGTGAGCATCAAGTTTTTGGCGCCGTTGTCGGGGATTGGCGTTTCTTATATGATATAATCTTGATCTTTAAGATTGGATTTTGTGAGTATTTTTATTTTATTTTTATTTTTCTTTGAAAAGTGCTACTAATCTCTTTCCTGAGTTGTATGCGAGGTAAGACTGAATAATTTTTATTTGATCCTGAGATTGCAAAGACCGAAAGGAGAAATAGAAAACTCGCTCGGAAAAAGCTTCAGTTCAAAGCAATTGATACTCTGACTGAAGAGACTCAAGAGACACCAGTTGAATCCTCAATCATGGCAGCAAATAATGATGAAGAAAATCCACTCATGAATACTATTCTTCCTCTAGCTTTTAATAGGCCTAACTCAAGCATTGTCCAGCCAGTAATCGGTAACAATAATTGGGAGCTGAAGTCTTCCACTATTCAATTGGTGGAGAGAGCCCAGTTTGGAGGAGAGGAGAATGAAGATCCTCACAGATTCATAGACAGATTTCTTATGATCTGTGACTTATCCAAACATCCTCAGGTGTCCAATGATGCAATCCGGTTGTGGTTGTTCCCTTTTTGCTATTAAAAGAAAGGCTCTTAGTTGGTTGGAAAGGCAGCCTGCACGTAGCATTCCTACATGGGATGATTTGTCTAAAAAATTCTTTGTTGAGTTCTTCTCTATGGAGAGATATAATTAGATGGTGAATGATATTACCAATTTCACTCAGTTAGAGGGTGAAACTATGTGTGGAGCTTGGAACAGATTCAAGGATTTAATGAGGAGGTGTCCTCATTATAACTTGACTGTTGGCAACCACATGAGAATCTTCTTCAACGGTTTTAAACCTGACATTCGGATGGTGTTGAATGGTGCTGCAGGTGGTACTATTAAATCCTTGAGAGCAAATGAGACTCTTGAGCTGATTGAGAGAATGGCAGCTAATGAAAATGAAGGGTTGTCATCTAAGCCTAAGAGAGGTATTCTTCAGCTGGAAGGCAAGGATGTGGTGCTGGCTGAAAATAAGTTGTTATCTCAGCAAATGGAAAATTTGACTTCAAGGCTTGATAAGATGCAGCTTTCTGGAGTTCAGGCTCAAGCTGTTGATGTTGTGTGTGAATATTGCCAGGACAATCATGAGTCTAATGAATGTCCTTCTTTGCTTCCTTCTGATCCTCTTCAACAAATGCAGGTGAATGGCATTTGGTATGATCAAAGACCTCTGCCGCAAAATATTCCAAGAAATCAGAATTTTTTTGCTGGAGGTAATAATTTTCAAAGGAGGGTCAGGGAACCGGTCTTGATTTCAAGTCTAACAACTATTTGCAGCCTCCACCAATCCAATCCAAGGAACCTTCTGATTTGGACAAGCTAGTAGGACAAATGGCTCAACATTCTAATGCTTTCATGGAGGAGACTAGAGCGAATTCAAAGAACACAAATGCATCCATCAGAAATTTGAAGAATCAAATTGGCCAACTAGCTAAACAAATTGCTGATAGAACTCCAGGTACCTTCCCTAGTAATACAATTACTAATCCAAAGGAAGATTGTATGGCCATCACAACTAGAACTGGTAAAGTGGTGGTAGCCCCAGAAAAGCCAAACATAAATATGGGAGCTGATGAGAAGCTTAATGAGGTTGAGGAGCCAGAAAAAGAAGTTGTAATTCCTTCTAAGGTTGTGAAGCCTCTGCATAAAGGTGAAGAAGAAGAGCAACCAATTGTTGCTGAAAAGAAGAAATTTGAGATGAGTCCTGGATATGTGAGAGACATGACACCTTATCCTGAAAAATTCAAGAAAGATGCTCAGAAGTAGAAATATGCCAGATTTCTTGATATCTTCAAAAAGTTGCACATTAATATACCCTTTGCTGAGGCTCTGGCCAATATGGCCAATTATGCCAAGTTTATGAAGGACCTGTTATCAAGAAAACACAAGTTGCAAGAATGCCAAACTGTGACACTCACTGAGGAGTGTAGTGCGATAATACAGAAGAAGTTTCCCCCTAAGCTTCGTGATCCAAGGAGCTTCAATATTTTCCAATTGCTATTGGTAATGCTAATGTTGGCAAAGCTTTGTGTGATCTTGGGGCGAGTATAAATTTGATGCCCTTGTCTATTGTAAATCTTTGGGGATATCTGAGCTCAAGCCTACTATGGTTACCTTGCAACTTGCTGACAGATCCTTAAGGAAACCCAGTGGTATAATTGAAGATGTCCTTGTTAAAGTGGACAAATTCATTTTTCCAGCAGATTTTGTGGTTTTGGACATGGAAGAGGAAACTAAAATGCCTCTTCTATTGGTAACACCTTTCTTGGCAACTGCTCGGGCTATGATTGACGTTGAACAAGGGAAGCTCGAGTTAAGGATGAATGATGAGACTATCACCATCAATGTCTTTGATTCTATGAGACAAGCTTCTGATAAAGGTGATTGTTTCAGACTTGATATTTTGGAAGAAGAGGTGAAAGAAGAGAAATTTTCTAGTCAGGACCTTGATGAAGAAATTGAGGCATGTCATATTGTTCCTTTTAAGGAAGAAAAGAGTGTTGTGTTTGAGGTTCTTGAGAAGAAGGATTCTGACAAAGAAGATGGTGCCACAAAAGTAGAGTTAAAGGACATGAATAAAAGGTTGTCTGAAGAGCAGGAAATGAGGCTGACAGAGGTGCTGAAAGAAAATAAGACTGCCATAGGGTGGTCTATTTCTGATTTGAAGGGTATAAATCCCTCTTTTTGTACTCACAAAATCCTCATGGAGGATGATGTCAGACCTATAAGGAAACCTCAAAGGAGGCTTAATCCTACAATGAAGGAGGTAGTGAGAAAATAAGTGGTGAAACTTCTTGATGCTGGCATGATCTATCCGATTTCGGATACTGCTTGGGTGAGTCCAGTGCAAACTGTTCTGAAAAAGGGAGGCGTCACTGTAGTCCACAATGAAAAAATGAACTAATTTCGACCAGAACTATTACTGGTTGGAGGATGTGTGTGGATTACCGGAGGTTGAATGCCGCCACAAGGAAGGACCATTTTCCACTTCTTTTTGTGGACCAGATGTTAAAGAGGTTGGCTGAGCACACCTATTACTGTTACCTGGATGGATACTCTGGGTACAATCAAATTCCAATGGCACCAGAGGACCAGGAGAAAACAGCTTTCACTTGCCCGTTTGCATATAGACGGATGCCATTTAGTCTATGCAACGCACCTGCTACGTTTCAGAGGTGCATGCTCTCCATATTTTCTGACATGGTGGAGAAAAATCTTGAGGTATTTATAGATGACTTTTCCATTTTTGACTCTTGTTTTGATTTATGCTTGCATAATCTGATTTATGTTTTAAAAAGATGCCAAGAAACTAATCTTGTACTTAACTGGGAGAAATGTCATTTCATGGTACAAGAGGGAATTATGTTAGGCCATAAGATATCTGGGAATGGGATTGAGGTTGATGAAGCAAAACTCATGTTGATTGAAAAACTTTCTCATCTTGTTAATGTAAATAGTGTTAGAAGTTTTTTAGGACATGCTGGATTTTATAGGAGATTTATCAAAGACTTTTCTAAGATAGCTAAACCATTGAGCCAACTCTTAGAAAAGGATTCTAAATTTAATTTTGATGATGCATGTCTGAAAGCTTTTAATTTGTTGAAAGAGAAGCTCACTACAGCTCATATCCTTGTAGCTCTTGATTGGAGTTTACCTTTTGAGCTTATGTGTGATTCTAGTGCTTATGCAATTGGTGCAGTCCTTGGCCAATGTAAATAAATTGTTACATGTCATATACTATGCTAGCAAGATTTTAAATGAGGCACAAGTAAATTATCCCACAACCGAAAAGAAATGCTAGCTGTAGTGTACGCACTGGACAAATTTAGGTCTTATTTGTTGGGTTCCAAGGTAATTATTTTTACTGACCATTCTGCTATCAAGTATTTGATGAATAAGCAGGATGCCAAGCCTTGTTTGCTAAGATGGATGCTCTTGTTTCAAGAGTTCGACTTGGAGATCAGAGACAAGTCTAGTGTAGAAAACAAGGTGGCAGATCATTTGTCGAGAATTCAGGAGAAGGAATTGCAAGATGGTCCTGAAAAAGAAATAAATGACACATTCTCTGATGAGAGAGTGATGGCTATCTTTGTGCCTTCTTGGTTTGCGGATATTGCCAACTACAAGGTAATAAGAGAGTTGCCTCCTAACCTTACTAGGAAACAACAGAAAAAGAATCTGCGGGATGCAAGGAGATTTCATTGGGATGATCCTTACTTGTATTTCCAATGTGCTGATGGAATTATAAGGAGGTGTGTGCCAGAGTTTGAAGTGCATGAGATCCTGTGGTATTGTCATGCATCAGACTACGGAGGACACTTTGGAGGTAATAGAACTGCTCAAAAAGTTTTACAGAGTGGTTATTATTGGCCTACATTATTTAAAGATGCTAGAGATTATGTTGAGAGGTGTGACAAGTGTCAAAGAGCTGGAAATATTTCCCGCAAGGATGAAATGCCTTTGAATGGCATATTAGAGGTAGAACTTTTTGATGTGTGGGGAATATATTTTATGGGTCCATTTCCATCGTCTTATTCCAATCAATATATTCTGGTAGCTGTTGATTATGTGTCTAAGTTGGTTGAGGTTGTTGCTCTTCCCACAAATGATGCTAAAGCGGTGGTGAACTTTCTGAGATAGAACATTTTCACTCGATTTGGTGTTCCTAGAGCTATTATTAGTTATGGGGGAACACACTTTTGCAATAAGCAGTTTGACAGTTTGCTTGCGAAGTATGGAGTGAATCATAGGGTGGCTACACCTTACCATCCTTAGACTAGTGGGCAGGTTGAAGTATCAAATAGAGAGCTAAAGAAAATTCTTGAGAAAACTGTGGGAAATTCCTTAAACGGTTGGGCAAGAAAGCTTGATGATGCTCTTTGGGCATATAGGACTACATTCAAGACTCCAATTGGTATGTCTCCTTATCAATTGGTGTATGGGAAGTCTTGTCATTTACCTCTGGAGCTGGAACATAAACCAAAGTTCTTGAACTTTGAACCAACAAAGGCTCTTCAAAAAAGATTGTTGCAATTGAATGAGCTTGATGAGTTTAGATTGTCTGCATATGAGAGTGTCAGAGTTTATAAAGAAAAGACCAAGAGATGGCATGATAAAAAGATCAGTCCAAAGGAATTTGAGTCAGGACAACAAGTGTTACTGTACAATTCTCGCCTGAGACTGTTTCCGGGCAAGCTTAAGTCTAGGTGGGCTGGTCCATTTGTGGTGAAGAAAGTATTTCCTTATGGATCAGTTGAGATATCTCCTTTAGATGATGATAGACCTTTTAAAGTCAATGGAGCTAGACTAAAGTTTTCTCAAGGAGGATCTGTAAAGAGAGACACTGAGACTTTGTCTCTCAAGGAAAACAGCACTTGAAAGAGGTAACCGTCAGACTCGTGACGTTAAACAAGCGCTCCTTGGGAGACAACCCAATGTAGAGTTTATCTTTAAATTTAATTTATCTAAAAAAAATAGTTCAGTACTAAGACCAGGGAATTGGCGCGGCTCAGCGCCACTACCGCGTGAGTCCGCGCAGCTGCCTAGTATTATTCCCAGAAAAATGTCGCGGTTCCACGCCACTCCCGCGTGGTTCCGCGCCAGTTGTTTTTTTTTTACACAACACTGCGTTTTGCAGCATGTTACCCTAACCCTTTTCATTCTCCCCTCGCTTCCCTCATCTCACGCCCCCCTCTCTCATTTCATTTTCATTTCTTTTCTTCTCTTCTTCTTCCTTCTTCCTTTCTTCTTCT